GGGATTATTCGCTGGAGGGCTCCCAAGGAGGATCGGCAGGTGCCAGGGTGCGGGAGGCCCCCGCGCGTGGTGATGGCAAGGCCCCAGCTCATGGCTCTGACTCCCCTGCTCCCTCACCATTTCCAGTTTCTGCCCTGTCCCTGTCACCGGAACACCTGTCATCGCAGCGCCTGGCTCTCCAGGGCTGGATGGCTCCCCCAGTCCGCTCCTCCTCCCACCGCCCAGCCCTCCTCACACTGGGCTCTGAGGTGGCCTCTGGCTGCCGGACAAGGGCTGTTCCAGGAGACGGCACAGCGAGAGGCCCGGCTGCAGCAGAGGAAGGACACAACCCCTCCACCCCCCACCTTTACGGGCCACCCCTGGTTGAATACTAAGTCAAAGGGCTGACATTTAACAAAATGGCGAGCCGCCTGCACTGCTTGACTGTGAAGCAAAGTGAATCAAGCAAAGATTTGCCTTAAAACTACATATACAGCCCTAACCGGTTTGGCTCAGTGGATAGAGCGTCGGCCTGCGGACTGAAGGCTCCCAGGTTCGATTCTGGTCAAGGGCATGTACCTTGGTTGTGGGCACATCCCCAGTGCGGGGTGTACAGGAGGCAGCTGATCAATGTTTCTCTCTCATCGATGTTTCTAACTGTCTATCCCTCTCCCTTCCTCTCTGTAAAAAATCAATAAAAATTTTTTTTTTTAAACTACATATACAAAGAATTGAAGCAAGGAGACTGGCCGAGTGGCATTTGCGGGACTGGATCTCAGGTGTCCAGGAGATGTCCTAGGGACGGTGGCTGTGGAAAAGGAGAGCACAGGATGGACCTAAGAAGTTGTTGATATATTTTGGGGAAAGTGTGGGAGAATTCGGGGAGAGAATCATGGCAGAGAGGAATGTGCTGTGTGACCTTGGGCAGGGCACTAGACCTCTCTGATCCTGCTGCTTTATCTGTGACATGAGAACAAGTGTAACACCTTCCTGGTTCTTATGAGTGTCATCTGAAGTATTTGTCAAGTGCTCAGCCTAGAGCTTAGTCGAGGTAATAGGATCAAGCAAGGAGAGCAAGAGAGAAACGGGGCTGCAGTGCCTGAGAGTCGTGGGGAGACAGATGCTGCTGGCGGCCAGATGAGAGGCCCAGAGCCCATGGAGCCGTCAGCCGCTGTGAGATCCGCCGTCACATGCTGGGCATCACATGCTGGGCAGGCAAGGCACGGGGCCAGTGCTTCTCGCCCTGGCTGCACACCAGGATCCCAGTGGAGCACCTCAGGCTCCTTCTCAGAGATGCGAGGGTGATTCTGGTGAGCGGTCAGGGCTGCAACCCCAGGCCGAACCTGGAGCACATGGGCAGGGAGCCAGCACGGGGCAGGGGCAGGGCAGAAGGAACCCTGACCCCATGCTACCCACCAGCCAGTCCTGGAGAGAGATTGGCCCCAGTGAGCCCAGCCTCCAGAGCCCAGGGTGATGGCCACCCGGAAGACGGCCGGGCAGGACGCAGGCCCTGGAGCCAACGGGTCTCCGACAGGAGCGTTGCCCCAGGTCCTCCTGGGAGGACTGCCTTGCAAGCACCGGAGGCCTCAGAAACCCCTTCTAGGGGAGGAGACATGAAGGGAGTCAGTCAGTGGAAAGTGTGAAGAGGAACGGACGAGGGGTAGCACATTAAAGGAGGTCGGGAAGTTCTCCTCAGTGAGCTGACATCGGGGCAGGCTCCACAGGGTCCTGAGCGGGAGCCGGGAGGATGGAGGAAAGAACATTCCAGGGGGAATAGTAAGTGCAAGGGCCCAGAGCAGGTTCGGCTGGGGGGCGGGGGGCGGTCAACCGTAGGAGAGGGCAGGCGGGCAGGCACGTCCAGCCACAATTAGAGTTTAAAGTTGGAGGAAGGCGCTGGAATCTTGCCGTTGGGCACCCTGTTAATCCCCGCTGATGGGATTTTTCAGCAACCAGGGCAGCGACATGCCAGTCAAGTCGGCCATATCACGTTTCCCGCTTGAACTTAAAATAGGTATTAACGTGTTAGTGACAGAAGAGGATCCTCAGTAAACTGACTTTCGATGTCCCGTGTTCGCATCGGCCAGATGTGATCCCCAGAGAGTAAGAGAAGGCAGAGAGCGCTCTCTCAGAAGTAAAAGGACTCAGATTTTAACGGTTTTTTTTGTAGGCACGTGGCTGTGAGTTACGGCTCCACATACGTCTTTGTACTGACATTAGAATGAACACCATCAGCCCTGGCTGGGTGGCTCAGTTGGTTGGAGTGCCGTCCTGTATGCGGTTGCAGGTTTGATCCCTGGTAGGGGGCAACCGATTGATGTTTCTCCCTCCCTCTCTCTAAAAAAATCAATTTTAGCCCTAGCCAGTTTTGCTCAGTAGGTAGAGCATTGACCTGCAGACTGAAGGGTCCCCGGTTTGATTCCGGTCAAGGGCATGTACCTAGGTTGCAGGCTCGATCCATGGTCCCGTTCAGGGCTTGTGCGCTCTCACATCAATGTTTTTCTCTCTCTGTCTCTCCCCCTTCCTTCTACTCTCTCTAAAAATCAGTGGAAAACTATTCTCGATGAGGATTAACAAACAAACAAAAAATCAATTTAAAAAAATCTTCAGGTGAGGATTTAAAAGTTGTTTTAAAGAATAAACACCATCAGAAGCAAGATGAAAGGAATATATCAAATGTACCCCTTAATATTTGGTCATGAACTGTGTCCAGTTACTTCTCAACGCCTTCTATTCTTTGTCTCCCCCACCCCACACCCCCACCCCCCTCATGGCCTGGTTGTAGCTACTCTGAATTCACCTTCGGGATGGAAGCTTCTAGGGGTGCCTGTGGGTTCCCCTCACCGCCTGAGCTGCGGTGGCACCCAGAGGCGGGGCTCCTGTCCCAGCTCTGCCAGCTTGTTGCCTATGGGAGAGAGGCCGTTACCTGCCGTGTTAGGCTCTGAGGACCGCCCTACGTGTGGAGCGCTGCTCACTCGGGCCTTCCAGGCCTCTGGCCGAGGCCCCCAAATCACTTTCATTATATGACGTCCCTTTCCTGCGTGGGGGCAGATCAGATGGCAAGGCGACAGCCTAGAGCCCCACAGCCCCACCGTCCCCACCAACCCCTGCACGAGGCTTCTGCCCTGGTGCCCACAGCGGGCTTGTGCTCTCCAAGTCTGGGTTTCTGACAACCGAGAGCCTGGCCCCTCGGGGCAGCCCGGCTCCTGGGCCCTTCAGGAAGGTCTGAGGAGGGACTGACGGGTATTCTAAGTCCTAACTTCATCCTCTATCTGCTCACGCCCTAAAAGCGCGGAGGGCACCGTCCCTGTCTGAGGGGCGGGGAGGGGAGGTTGCTGGGACGTCTGGGTTAGAAGCATCTGACAGCAGCGTGGCCAGAGGCCAGGCAGCCCCCCTCGGGAGGAAGGCAGGTGTCACTCCTGGGCTTTGAGGCACAAGAGGGGGGGGACGTGACCCTCAGGAGCTGTCCCATCTCGAGAAATAACCCGGTGCCAGCCAGCGGGAGCCCTCACACCTTCTCTGGGCCGGGGCGGGCAGGAGATGAGGGGCTGAACCCGGCAAGACTGAACCCGGGGGCCTGGGCTTGCCACCCTCCCTGTGCCTGGCCCCCGAGGAGGCTGGGGCTCATAGCTAGCCCTGTGGTGGGGAGAGGGGTGCCACAAACCAGCTCTCTGATATCCTGCCCTCTGGGGGTGCCCCGAAGCTTCCGTCCGCTCATATCCAAATCACCCCTACAGCCGGGTCTCCTCTCCTTCCTCCTCCCGGCACTGCCCGACCCCCACCCCCACCCCCACCCCTCCCAATCACAGCTCCCAGGGCCTGGTCTCCCCCGGGTAAAGCTCCTTGTGTGATTAAAGCAATTCCCACAGAAGCACTTTATTCTTTTCTGAAAGCCCTTAGGCCTGACCCTTCCAGGGCACATTTGCATTTCAAGCAGAGTTTGTATGAGCAGAATTTAGCGTTAATTGGTGGAAATGGGGGGCAATTGTTTGGGGAGGAGACTTTCCCAGGCCCGGCCCTGCTCTCCTCTTTCCTCCCCCAGGCGGGGAGGGGTGCTGGGCGCCCCTGGGAGGGCCCTGCTCGGGAGGAAGGTTACGGAGCCCTGGTTCCCAGAGGCTCCGCTTTCTTCACCAATTGAGAACCCTTTCCGGTGGGACCTAAAATGGAGTGCTTTCCCCAAGGTTTGCTTTGTTGTGGTTGATTTCCTAACGCCATCACTTCACAGCACCAAAGACAGATCTCAGTCTCCTAATGGAATAGACTCAGCGTTCTAAAACCCGTCACCGGTTTTCCTTGGGCCACAGCGTGGTGATGGGGGGGGCGTGGCTGCCCCGGAGAACCTCCCCTACTCTCAAACCCCAGTTTTCAAACCCCACGGACAAGCTGCCGTAAAGATGCATTTTCAAATCTTAATAATGAACGGTAGGGTTAATGTATCAGCGTGTCACACAACTGTCTATGTTGGAAATGGCCTCAGGAGAGAGAGCGGGAGAGGAAATTGAGGGGCAGAGGGTGAAAGAAGTGGGGAGCAAACAAGGGGGCAGCGGAGGTAGAGTGACCGTGTCTCCCAGCTGTCCATCCTCCTGACACGGGAGAAGGTTCCCGAGCTGAGGAGGCAGCCTTATAGAGTGTGTGTGTGTGTGTGTGTGTGTGTGTGTACGTAACCGTGCAATGTGTGGGGGCAGCACCTGACCGATATGTACACTCCCATCCCAAAGCCTCGCCCCTCAAATGCCCCCCCCCCCTGGGCCTGGCACCGTGAGCAGGTGCTGGGCTGCCGCCATCGCCTCGCATAGGACACTGCGCCTGACCCCCAGCAAAAGGCAGGGAGCGAGAAAGGCAAACGGCAGGTGGGGAAGTAGTGGGCGATGCCCGCCCCGGGGAGGAGGAGGCCCTGCGCTCTAGGGGAGGGACCTTTCTGTCTCCATCTTGGGTTTGGTTCCTCACAGGCCACCCTGGCCTGGTCCCGGTCCCCTGGGCCTGACCCGGAGGCTGTGCTCACGCGTTTCTCTCTGCCCCTCCAGGTGTGTGCGGCTGCTGTGGCGCCCTGCGCCCCAGGTACAAAAGGCTGGTTGACAACATCTTCCCTGAGGATCCCGAGGTGCGTCACTGCTCCATCTCAGGGCTGCTGGGAGGGGAGCAGGCCTCCAGGGCCCCTTGCTCCTGGGCCCCTCGAGGAGCCGTGGGGGCGGGGAGGGGCTGAAGGCGGAGGGATTTAGATCTCTCTGAGCTCAGGGCTCTGGAGTGGGCTTGGCCTGCTTTGGGCCATTGCTGACCTGAGACATCGTTCCCACTCATGTCTCTGGGTGATAGTTCCTTGAGCTGCCGACTCTCTTGCCGGGACTGATCCTGTGTTTAGTGCAAGCACTTCCCCCTCTTAGGTTTCGGCTCAGGAGCCCATGTCTTCTCCCAGCTCCCCCTGGTGTCTGCCAGGTGTTGGGATGTGCACACAGGACCCCGGGCTTCTTGGCTTCCAAGCCCCCCCCCACCCCGGCTGCATCCCACGGTGTGTGCTTTCAGGAACGTCAGGATCGGATGTACTTGACTTGCTCTCTGGGACTCAGGGACCTCTTCGTGATGGGCAGACAGGGAGGTGGGGGTCCCATTTCCAGAGCCCCCTGGAGATTCCCTATGTGTTACAGAGCTGCCTTCTCCATCCTGTTCATCGCTTGGTGCTAGATATCCAACACGTTTTACTTCTGAGTCACTTTCAATGAAGCCTTCACACACACATACACACCCTTATGTGTGTGTACACATACCTATACACACATGCACATATAAGCTTTCATGTATATACACACATTTGTGTACACACAAGTATACACACATGTGCACGCGTGCGTGCGCACACACACATATACACATTCATAGCACTTACTAGTTTTAGTTCTAGCCAACACACTTTGGGCTAAGTTGTGAGTTCCTGGAGGGCAAGAACTATATCTTAATCCTCTCTCAATCCCTGAAATCTGCATGCTGCCTGTCACATGCTTAGCGGCACTCTGCCTAATGTTGATGAAACGGAACGAGTTTTACCTTTAGACTTGAACTCTGCCGGCCACGATAGGGCCGCCGAGAGCAGGAACGGTCTGTCTTTTCCAGGACGGCCTGGTGAAGACCAACATGGAGAAGTTGACCTTCTACGCCCTCTCGGCTCCAGAAAAGCTAGACCGGATCGGCGCCTACCTCTCCGAGAGGCTCATCCGGGATGTGGGTCGTCATCGATACGGGTAAGTAGGATGGGAAAGGGAAAAGGGTATTTTCAGAACCCATGTTATATGTTTAGGGTAAACCTTTAAGACATTGATAGTGGACTGGATGATTGCTTTTTGCTACTCTGCATATTCTCTGCCCATCGCAGTCCATGCTGATGAAAAACACCTTGAAATTCGCAGCTTATGCTCTGCCTGCCCACATCTCGTTGTCATCCCTGATGCTAAACACACACGAGCACCGAGTACACATGCAGGTGGGCTGGGTGGGGAGGCAATGGGGCAGAAGAGGGTGGATTTGCCACTGGGTCCGACATCCAAGGTTCATGCCCATATGGTCAAACCATAAATCCAGGCACCTGCACCACGGCAGGGAGACACCCCCTCAGCCTTTCTGTGTGCAAATATTCTGCTCTTCCAACCCTCCGTGACGAGGAAGGTGATGATGATGATGTTGAGGGAGGCACTGGGTAGGGGAAGACCGGGAGGGTGAGGAGAGAGATCAGCTCTAACAGCGTTTTCTTCTCTAAATGGTTACGATTAGAGCCCCCAGGGAGGCTTTCAAGAATTTAAATACGTAGATGCTGCAATGGCTGCTTTTAACAGGACGATGCCAGTTTTGAATGGCAGATCAGAGGGCAGTGAACAGTTCTAAGTGGCTCTGCTGACCACAGAATATTTTCACCGAGAGAACTGCAGAGAGGGCAGGCAAAATTTGCATTAATGTTTAATGTTATTGCTTGCATATTGGCTTCAGGTTCAATCTAGGATAAAGTCATTTTTGCTTGTGTCCAATATGTCCAGGTGATTTATATAATCAGCATGGACACTATATTCGTGCCCTTTTTCTTGAGTGTGCGACCTAATTTTATTCTTTAAAATGGTCATAGAAATGAATAGGCTTTGGTCTTGCTTTTATGCCAGGACAGCTTGATCTCAGATTGGCTGGTGGGTCCTGCAGAGGCGAGGACCTCCTCATGCCGTCAGCGCAATGCAAACCTTTCCACTCTGGTTCTCCATCTCCCTCAGCAGGAGGAAGGGGCCTTGGAGGGAGGTGGTGCTGTGGGCGGTGGTGGGAGCCCATGGAGGCATCAAGGGGAGGGCAGAGAGCCAGGGTGATTGACACCTAATCCATCTGGAGTGGGTCGAGAGCAGGCATGGCAGGTGTGGTGGGCCTTGCTGGGTAGAATGGTGAGTCAGGAGCAGGTTGTGGAAGACTCTAGAGGTCAAACTGAGGAGGTTGGATTTCATTCTAAAGGAGCTAGGAAAGCGCAGCTTCGGGTCCGTGTTTTGAAGATCACAGCTGGCAGTGTTCATGGAAGAACCAGAACAGAAAGGACGGGAACCAGGGAGACGTTGTCAAGGCCACGGCTCTGAGTGACTCTTAGGCGATGACTGGCCTTGCGACAGCTGCCCCCTCTCTCCTGCCTGCTGGACTTCATCTCCGCCCTGGATCTGTGTTTTCTCTCTAAGTCTGGTTTCCAGGTTTTGCATGGCCTGCTTCTCCTTTCTGGGAGGCTCAGCGCCTCCCTGGCTCCTGGGGCCACTCCTCCTGAGCACAGGGCGTTCCAGCAGCACCAGCTGCCTCTTCTGGAATTCAAAGCAAGGGACTGCCTGCCTCACGCCTGCACACCAGAGCCTCTGTGTACTTTCCTCAGCTGTTGTAACTCATCTTCCGCCTTGACCCTTGACCCTGAGTTCCTGTTGTTGCCAACCTGTGTCCTCTCCAAGACGTGGTTGCTGCCCACGAACCCCAGTCCATCCCAGAGTCCTTGGGTCCTGCCCGCCTCACCCGCTGGGAAGCCCAGCTATTGCGTCACCTGCTGCTGTGGTCTGTCACCTGTTCTTGCCTTCTCCCTTGGGCCCCTGCCGTGGGCTAGTCCTCAGCACCTCCTTCCTGCCCCATTCCGCTCCAAGGACCCAGTCAGGCCAGCTCAGGTTCCCAGACCAGTTGCTACACTGGACACCTTCCAGGATACCAAGCCCAGATCAGATCTCTGCTTGGACCGGCCTGTCTGACCCTAGTCCTGCTGAGCAGGTATCACCCTGAGAAGCCAGTACTCTGCTCCCATTGAGAGTGTAGGACATACCCTGGTAGGTTATGGTAAGAAAGGACCAAGGCAGCAAGCATTGGACTAGGGGGGTTCCAGGGTCCCATTGACTTCTAATCTAAGATTCTTTGCAAAGTTCAAGTTCATAGTCACTTGCCATCCTTACTATTGGGATCAAAGATGGGGAATGAAGAAGAGTGTGTTCACAGATGTAGGCCTTAATCTTCGTTACTTTCAGTTTCACTTCTACCATAATGTTGACTTCCCCTCAGAGTTTCCACTCCTGGTCAGTAGCCAATTTTTTTTTTTTCCTAGCAAAGGATGGTTTTTTTCTTATCAGGACTTTTCTGGGAATTTTTTTACAGGAAAAGGAAAAGCAACAATCTAAGCTCTGGGGTTTGGAAGGCCTTCTAGTTTCTTCTCTTGCCAAACCCCACCCCACCCCTTCCTTTCCCCTCATGGAAACTCTATAAAATAATGGTGAAACCCTTCATACAGAAGGCCGCCGGGATGATTCATCAGAGAAGAGAATTCCACGCTGCCCGCCCCATTTCCCACCTGCCGCGTTTGATTAGCAGAAGGTGCCCAGGTTTGTCTGCAGGGAGAGTCTGTCTCCTTTGGAAGGGCCCCAGCCCTGCAAGAGTCAGTCTGCTTCACTGGCCCGCACAGCGGACCTGAAACATGCTGGAACCGGGCCCGCAGGCATAGCAGGTTTCCTGGGCTGAGACTGTGATGGCCTCTGAAGGTCAAGGCTATAATGACAAGGGCAAGGCTATAGTGAGCCAGGAATGGCCAGTCCTCGGAGCAGGGAAGAATGGTGACTTTGTTCACTGAAGGAGCTCAAAGACCCAGTGCTGCCTCTGTATTTCAAAGACACTCTGTAGATAAGAGCATGACCTGATCTATTTGTGAATGTGCCCAGGGATGACTATTTCGGAATATTTAAGAATATTTTATTCTAATAATAGTAAGTGCAATTTAATAATAGTGGACAGTTCACAGAGATAAAAGAAATAAACATTTTATAAGCGTGGACAGGAAAATTTTCAGAGTAGAGAGGCAGTGTTTCTTATGGTTGCTCAGTGTAAGAGTTAGCTCAAGGGTACATGGTTTCTAATGTCTCAAAAAAACAACAAAACCCAAAACATTTAGAAGATGCCATGACTGCTGTTATTTTATATGCTTGGTTTGCAAAGCTGACTCTCGTGCAAGACAGTTTTGATGCACAAGAGATGAAATTAAGTGGCTGCCACAAGAAATATTATGGAGCCTTGCATTTTGGTCAGTGCAGTTCCCATCAAAATGCTAATGTTATTTTTCTCAGAGCTAGAAATAATCCTAAAATTTATATGGAACCACAGAAGACCCCAAGGAGCCAAAGCAATCTTGAGAAAGAAAACACAGTTGGAGGTATCATGCTCCCTGATCTCAAACTATACTCCAAAGCTGTAATAATCAAAACAGTATGGTACTAGCACAAAAACAGACACAGATCAATGGACTAGAATAGAGAACTCATAAATAAACCCCTGCTTATATGGTCAACTAATCTATGACAAAGGAGGTAAAGATATACACTAGAGCAATGACAGTCTCTTCAACAAGTAGAGTTGGGAAAATTGGGCAGATACATGCAGAGAAATGAAACTGAACTACTCTCTTAAAATACCAATGGCATATTTCACAGACCTAGAACAAACTTTCCAAAAATTCATCTGGAATAAAAAAAGACCCCGAATAGCTGCAGCAATCCTGAGAAAGAAGAACAAAGTAGGTGGGATCTCAATACCAGATATCAAGCTGTTTTACGAAACTGGACCACTCTCTTATACCATATACAAAAATAAACTCAAAATAGCTTAAAGATTTAATTGTAAGCCCTGGAACCATAAAACCTCTAGAAGAAAAAATAGGAAGTAAACTTTATCTGACATCAGTCTGAGTAAAATCTTTTTGGTAATAGTCCCTCGAGCAAGGGAAACAAAAGAAAAAATAAACAAATGGGACCACATCAAACTAAGAACCTTCTGCATAGCAAAGGAAACCTTCAACAATTAAAAAGGCAACCTACTGAATGGGATAATATATTTGCAAATGTTATATAGAGGTTGATATCCAAAATATATAAGAAACTCATATGACTCAACAACAAAAAATGAACAATCCAATCGAAAAAAATGGGCAGAAGACATGAAAAGACACTTCTCTAAAGAAGAAATACAGGTAGCCAACAGACATATAAAGATGTTTAATGACACTAATCATCAGGAAAATGCAAATCAAAACCACAATGAGATACCGCCTCACACCGGTCAGAATGGCTGTTAATCAAAAAAAATCAACAAATAATGTGTTGGCAAAGATGTGAAGAAAAGGGAACCCTCAGGCACTGCTGGTGGGACCGCAATTGGTGTAGCCCCTACGGAAAACAGTACCACATGGAGTTTCCTCAAAAAACTGAAAATAGAACTACCATTCAACCCAGCGATTCCAATTCTGGGTATTTATCCAAAAGAGAACACTAATTCAAAAAGGCATATGCACCCCCTTTGTTCATTGCAGCATTATCTACAGTAGTCAACATATGGAAGCAACCTAGGCGTCCATCGATAGGTGAGTGGACAAAGAAAGTGTGATATCACACACACACACACACACTGGAATATTATGCAGCAATAAAAATAATGAAATCTTGCCCTTTGTGACAACATGGATGGGTCTAAGTGAAATAAGTCAGGCAGTGAAAGATAAATATCATGTGGCTTCACTTATATGTGGAATCTAAAAACAAAACAAAACAGGCCTGGCCAGGTAGCTCAGTTAGTTAGAATATTGTCCTGACATGCCAAAGTTGCGGATTTGATCCCTCGTCAAGTCATATACGTACAAGAATCAACCAATGAATGCATAAATAAGTGGAACAACAAATCAATGTTTCTCTCTCTCTCTCTCTCTCTCTCTCTCTCTCAAATCAATAACTAACAATTTTAGAGGGATGGTTACCAGAAGAGAGGGAAGTGTGGATGGGTAAAAAGAAGAAGGGGGATATAGTCAATAATATTGTGATAAGTTTACATGATGACAGAAGATTACTAGAATTAGCTGGGTGATCGATCACATTGTAAGGTATAAAAATGTCGAATCACTATATTGTACACCTGGACCTAATATAACCAATATAAGATTATATACCAACTATACTTAAATTAAAAAATAAGTTTAATAAATTGTTTAAAAGCCAACTGACCAAAAATAAAAAAGAAAAGAAATAAAAAGACAAAGATTCGCTAGCAAAGGATTTTTAAATACTTGCCTAACATTAAAACATGGATATGATTTGGCTTGCCACATAAAGAACAGACCTTTGAATTCATCCTTTATTATATATACTTGAGGCCTGATGCATGAAATTCATGCAAGAGTAGGCCTCCCTTTCCCCAGCTGCCGGCACCGGCTTCCCTCTGGCACCAGGGGCCTGGGCTTCCCTTGCAGCCCCGGCTTCGTCCGGAAGGACGTCCAGAAGGACGCTGGTCTAATTAGCATATTACGCTTTTATTATTATAGATAGAGCACATGAGCCTGACTTGAGAGTGTCAGGCAGCTTTAACACATTAAAAGCCCGTGGGGACAGCTTTCCCACAATCTTTGAGCTGGGTCTTGTGCTGCTTGCTTTTGACTGAGAGGCATTCACTTGAGTCTTGGGCACCCCAGTTAGGTTTGGGGGTTCTCCGTTCACCTTGCCGTCCCTGCATTTTCTCTGTAAGGGGAGTACTTTCCAATTCACGTGGTTTGGCTCTACAGGCAGAAGGCCCACACTCCGAGCCCATGGATGCTTGTGAAGACCTCCCCTCTGGGAGGATAGAATCGTGTCAACTCTTGCTTCTTCTCTTTCCTGTGAAGGCAGTCACTTGGTTTGCTTCGGATTGCTCAGGACTCACGCTTATTTGCCTCACCGGGTTCTAAAGCCCTCCCCGACGTGATTATCAGATGCTGATGTTACTTAGGGAACAGAGAGACTCAAAAATACAGTGGCTCCAGCAACATGGAAGTGGGTTTCCTTTCTCTCCTGTCACAGTCCAGGCGGGGTCTGTGGGCTCTGTGCCCAGTGTGGTCATCCAGGGACTTTTGTCTCTGGGTGCCCAGCTATTGCCGTGTGGGACCAGCAGAAGGAGGGAAAGAGAGAACATGAAGGACAATCTTAAGCAAGTCATGCTGACATCGCTCACCTCACTTCCCCTCATTTTCATGGCAGCGCTTTAGTCATGTGGCCTCACCTAGCAGCAAGAGAGGCTGGGAAGTGTTCCCAGTGAGCAGCCACAAACTCAGCTAAAATTCTAAATTCCTATGGAAAAAGGGGAAAGAGATTCCAGGGGTGACATCTAGCATTCTGCCCCAGAAATCTCACTTCTTAAAAAAAAAATTATAAAGATTTAAGACAACATAATTCCTGACACACTTGCAGCAACCTCCTCATTAGGAGTGAAAAGATCGCCTTTTTAAAAAAGTGAACATCTACCTTGTTTTCTTTAGAATGCAAATGGCTTGAAAGTGGGAAAAGTATCTTTCAACATGCACTTTATCGGACCATATGCTTGTTTTGCCACTATCATGGAACACATGTTGGAGTGAGCGTAGACATGCACTCCTCATTCTCAGGAGGAATTTGGCTTGTGGCGTTTTTCTTGGGATTTAAGAGAGGCGTTGAGGAAGACCAAGGCCGCCGGGATGACGGGGGGTTGTCCGGTGAAGGCTGGTTTTGGAAGGATTGCTTATTTTTAGCACGGAGAAGAGAAGAATAAGAAAAATGAGACTTGTTTTCAAGCAGTTGAAGGACTGGCAGGTAGGAAAAGGTTCAGTCCTCTTCTTGCTGCTCCTAAACGTAGAATTGTGAGTAAAGGATAGAAGTTATTAGGATTTGCTTGAAACATAAAGAAATTTTTCTCTGGTTGTCAAAACACAGGCTGGGCTGATTGAACTGGTAAGCTATTCACCATTGGATGCCGTCTAGTCCTAGTTCTGAAGGCATTCACTCAGGTTTTAGACTTTAGAATTGAGCCAGTGAGGGAGTTGGAACTGACACAACCCATATTCTTCCTAAGGTGGAAATAATTTTAATTCTGTGGCTGTCTCATCCTCCATGAGGTCAAAATGCCCCCGAGGTAGGGTGCCACTCAAATATGGCGATATCATCAACCAACCATATTGTTTGTGTAGATCATCATAGAACGGAGATCTTCAAACACAAAACTTGCTAATTTTATATTCCTCAACGGTCTCAGATTCTTCATAAACTGTCTTCATAAAGTTCTTCACTGCCTCCCCTGCAGAGCCATCTCTTTCCTTATTTGGAACCTCATGGGATGTCTTACACGATTTTCTTGTAGCATTTCTTATTTTCCCTTTAGAGGAGATTTCTGGGTACTTATCTCATCGTCGGACTCTAGGCTCTTTATCTTGAAGGACTTCTTCATCCTTACGCCCCCTGCAGCGAGTAGGCCAGAGCTTTTCCTCAGTGGGTGCTCAACAGACACTCCTGGACTTGGATCACATAATTCTCTGATCTCACTGGATCTTGGTTCAGAATTTGCTCTTCTGGGCACCTGTCCTTTTTTGCGTGTGTTTACCCATGAAATGGAACACTTCATCTGTCCCCTTGTTCTTCAACCGTAAGGTGAGGGGCTGAGAGGTTGGCCTTGAGGCCTCCTTCCAGCTCCGATTCTCAGGCTGGAGTGGGCACTTGATGGAATGGCATCAGACATTGACAACTTGGAGAAGAGCCTCATTACCCCGATGCTGCCCAGGAAGTCACAGCGCGGCCATCTAGCTGCCCCCACGTCAGACAGTGCGGGTGGAATGGACGTGGGGCAGGGGGATGGCATCGGTGCTGTTTCCCCAGGTACGTGTGCATCGCCATGGAGGCGCTGGACCAGCTGCTCATGGCCTGCCACTGCCAGAGCATCAACCTTTTCGTGGAGAGTTTCCTCAAGATGGTGGCCAAGCTGCTGGAGTCAGAGAAGCCCAACCTGCAGATCCTGGGCACCAACTCGGTAAGAAGCTGCCCCAGGGGCTCTGGAGGTGGGAGTGGGGGTGGAGGAGGGTGGGACCTCTGGGTCAGCGGCAGGATCCATTCCTATTTGCTCTCTGACCCTAAGTACCGCTCAGTGCTTGTCTTAGCGTTCCCCTTTGTGTGAATACAGGTATGTTTAGTTTTTATTTGACTAAAAATATAAGATTTATATTATAATTTATATAACTATATTATAGATACAATCAATTAAAAAAAATAAAATTCACCACATTACAGCATATGATTCAGTGGTTTTAGTATAGTCACAAGGCTGTGCAACCATCACCATTATCTAATGTATTTATCTTTAGACTGATGATCTTCGAACTTTTTTTAGCAATAGATTTTCCCCTTAAAGAATTTTAAGTGGGGCCCTAAGAAATATAAAAATAGATCGAAAGGGATGGGAGGGGTGCCTGGCACCCTCACAGCCCAGCCCGTGGCATCATGGGACATGCTTTGAAATCTAGTCCAGGTCATGCCTCTTTCAAAACTAGAATAAACTGATATCCACGGGACAGATGTGCCAGATATGGGGAGACCTCGCGAGAAAGCAGGAATCAGGGCTTCTGGCTTAGTTCTGCCCTTACCTGGCTGGGCAACCTGGAGAGAGTTATCTGTGGGCCTCGGTATTTTCATGGATATGATGAGCAGGCTGAATGGTCCAAGCTCTACATTGCTGGCCTCAGTACAGTGACTGCTGTCATGAGAGGTTATGGTTCAGGGAGAGAAGAGCCATTAGATGTGTCGAGAACCGCCAGCTTCGTATGTGTGTCTATCCCTACGGGAATATTCCGGTTGCTTTCTTCAATGTCTTGCCCTCTCTCCTCTTCCCTCTTCAGGGCAAACTCCCAGCTCCAGGTCTTCAGGCAGCCTGGTGTTAAAAGCTCTGATAATGCAACGATTTTACAGATACCACACAGAAATGTGTAAGGATTGCCTTCTTAGCACTGCCCTCCTGCCTTTTCTGAATTTTTATTGCACATAGAACAGCTGCTTTCCTGTTCTATGTAAGTTGATTTAACCAGAAAATAATCTTCCAGTTTTCCTTTTTTACCAAAAGTCACAACCTGTGCCCTTCTCTTCGCTCTGTGAGCCAGCCGCCTTTGACAGATGACATGGACAGTAGCGGAGGGTGAAGTCTTTTGTCAGGTTGCCCTGGCAACAGCTTCAGATACGGTTTCCCTGGTCCTGTTTCAGATAACTATAGTCGAGAAGAGAACATCTGAATGGAAATAAACCAGTCGTCCGGAGGGCATGTCCCCCTGGGGGACACAGAAGCAGGTGGCCAGCAGCCCTTGCTTCCCCCTCAGCGAATCCCAGCCCTGGGTGGGCGTTTTGTAGGCTACAGCCTGAAAATTCAGGGCCCTGCAAATTCCTCAAGTCTCCATCACAGTGAATCATTTCATCAGCAAGACAGCGAGTCATCTAATGGTCACTGCACTGCAGACAGTGAGGATGATGTAGGGACAAGCAGCTCTAAGTAAGTTAAGTCAGTAATTACGATAGACTCAGAGTCCAGCTTTGGAGGCAGCCTTTGCTGGTGTCTCTCATCAGATGCTCTTTCCAGCTCTCTGAGTCTGGAAGCTTCTCGGACCTTCCCAAGAAGAGCATTCTTTTGCACCCATCATGTTAGAGCTGCCGGCATGCTAGTGCCTGATATAATCTTGGAGTCGAGCCTGCGTTTCAACTGGTGTTCACGGGGATTCGAGGCTTTGTGGTGGGAGGGAGGCTGCAGGAGCAGGTCTGGGACTCTATGGAAGCTTGCAACTTTTCACTCGGGTAAAGGGCTTTGCTGCCCGAAAGTTGAAAGAAAGAGAAAGAAGGGGGAGGGGGGGCGAGAGAGAGAAAAGAAAAAGCTGAGCTCATCTACCACCCGCATTTTGCTGGGATTTCTGCCCGGAAACGGAGGCCCAGAGCAGTCAAAGAGCTCATCTGTGCTCGCACAGCTGGGGCACTGGATTTAGATGGTGATTTATTCAGCCCTGTGGCCTGTGTTCTCTTCTCGCCGGGCCCCACCCAGTGTGGGGTCCTCTCCCTGGGGCCAGCCTCCCTGTGGTCAGGCTCACCCGGAGTCACCTCTGCTCCCGCTCTTCCCTCAGACCTGGTTTTGCTGCCTGAATCCTTCTGCAGAGCCTGTCCTCAGAGTCCCGCCCCTTCAGGGTCACACGGGCCAATGACAGAGGCCCCCTGCACAGCTTGGGAAACCTACCGATTCCCAGGGCTCAGCCACACCTACGCCTCAGCGCTGTGGAGGGGGCACGGGGAGTCTATGTTTTAGTTTCTCTTGTGGCACTAGCAGCAGTTTTGGGGGCCACTGACCCATTGCAGCCTTAAACCTGCACAGGGTTCCCTCCCCTCTTCCTTTCTTCCTTTCTTTCTATATTCATTATTTCTCTCTCCATGTCTCCACTATTTTGCTTTCTCTGGTTCCTTCCCTGTGTCCAAACATAAGTTCAAGTCTCTTCCAGTATAAAAATATGTAAACAAACAAGAAAAAAACAACCCACAACGTTTTCTACACAGCCACAAAATACCTTTAGCTCACCTGAAAAACCATCATTCCTGATTTTTAAAAGAAATTTAGTCCCAATTCAAGTTTTCCTAATAGTGCCAACATTGTCTTGTCTTGCTGTCGTCCAGATCAGGATTCAGTAAAGATCGTGCATTTGCTTTGTTCTCTGTCTCTCAGATCTCAGTCAGTCCCAGCCCCTCTCCTGCCCCTCTGTGTTTCTCATGACATTGACCCTTCGAAGAGACCAGGCCAGTGCTTTGTGGGACGCCCCACATTCTGCTGTGTCTCTTACTTCCTTGTGGTGTCATTCATGCTGCTCTCCTGGCTGCTTTATGACCTTCAACCTGGAATTAGATCTGACGGTTTGATTGGATGCGGTTAAAGCCGCTGGCCGTGTTACTTTGTGGGGGTGACCCTGTGGCGGTGTCTGGGTCCCCCTTTTGGATGCCGAGTGCAGTCCCAGGTGAGGGTGGTGACTTGGGGTCACTCAGTGGAAAAGCACATGTCCGTGCAGCTAGCCATTGGTGAAACCATGCACATAACCATTCCCCACTCATCTCTCAGCTGAGGTTTGATCTTTGGTGGCGTCTCTGCTGGGTGCCTGCACCTTCTTCCTACTCCCCTGACTTCCTGGCCCTGTCACTCTGGCTCTCCCCGCCTGGTGCTTCCTTCTTCGTTTCTGAGCTGGGCTGAGGAATGGTCCCCCAAGGGTGTACGTGTTCTCATCCCTGGAACCTGTGAAAATTACCTTATATCATAAAAGGGATTTTGCCGAGATGATCAAGTTCAGGATCTTGCGATGGGAGATTACCCTGGATTCTCCAGGCGGGCCGATGTGATCACAAGGGTCTTTATGAGAGGGAGGCCAGAGGATCGGGGTCAGACAGACGGTGGCGTGATGACGGAAGCGGAGGGATAGAGAGAAAGAGATGGAAGATGCTACTCTGCTGGCCTTGAAGGTGGGGGAAGGGGACCATGAGCCAAAGGATGTGGGTGGCTTCTGGAACTGTCAGGGGACCAATTTGCAGTGTGTGAGGCCACTCAGTTGTGGGGATGTATTATAGCAGCACTAGGAAACAACACGGTTTTCCTCAATGATTCTCTTCCTCCATGCGCCCCTGAAATGTCTGTGGCCTCCAGGGCTGGGCCTCCATCCTCCTCTCACTCTCTGTGCCACTGGGCAATTTCATCGTTTCTCGTGTTTTAAACTGTCATCTAGAAATGCTGCCGTCTCCAGCCAGTGCGGAAATCAAGCCTGCGGGCGAGCCGCGGGCTGGAGTGGGTTTCTCCGGGGCAGGGCTGATAGAACTGAAACAGCAGGTCCCCGGGCGGCCCCAGCAAATGGCAGAGTCATAGAGCAGCGACAGCCGTGCCTCCCCAGCTCTGTGCTTCCCGGGCTGGGGCCTTGGGGGCCCGCCCTGGGGCTGCTCAGGGCCAGAGGGCTCGCCTTCTCAGGCAGCAAGGACTGGGCTTTTCCAGATCTTAAAACCAGTGATGCAAAGAAATCTTGAAAGAGGGAAGACGTGGTAGGGGTAGAAGGGGAGGATGTCTTTGGTCTCAAAATGCCACGCCTGGTAGCCAGGGGATTTGCTGGAAGAGATCATCCAGACAGGGCTGTTTCTCCTGTTTCCCGGAGTCGCTGTAAACAACAGCGGTTGGGAGGACTGGGCCCGGGAGTTAAAGTCAAAACCACGTGGTTTACAAGCTCTGCTTTCCCGCTAGGATCCCCTTCGGGAAGCAAAGAGGCAGTGCCCATTTCTCCTTAGGTAGGCAACCAGCAGAAAGGCCTGCGACCCTGGATCAGGGGAGAGCTGGGGTCCTCAGAGCGCCCATCAGTAGAAGGGAAGGCTAACTTCCGCGTGGAGAGGCTGGGCGAGCGCCGAAGGGAGGCCAGCCAGCTCAGCTGCTGTTTTCCAGACCAGGGGAGAGCTGGTTTTACAATGTCAATATTTGGAGATTCTCTTTCTTTATTGACAAAGGCCCTTCGTAACTAGCAGCTTTCACACAGTTGCGGCTCCTTCCTGTCTGTCCCAGAGCGTTAGAGATGTGTCCCAGCAAGCTTGGCACCCTTGGGAGTGTATAGAGAGCTGACACTTTGATCTTGAAAGGGTGGCCCCAGCAGTACCCATGGCCTTTGAAGTGTCACATGATCAGGATTTTCAGTTTGTTGCTATGGAGACCTTTCTCATCATTGTAATATTAAAAAAAAAAAAAGAAACCAGTTATTATTTCACAATCTCATGCATTAGGTAAGTGGCATTTTCACAAAAGCCATTTGTAAGGTATGCATTAACCATGGTAAGGGTGAGCCCCGACCAGGATGGCTCGGTCAGGGCACATGCCTGCGTTGCGGGCTCGATCCCCAGTAGGGGGACGTGCAGGAGGCAGCCGATCAATGATTCTCTCTCATCATTGATGTTTCTATCTCTCTTTCCCTCTCCCTTCTTCTCTGAAATCAATAAACATAGATTTAAAAAAATAATGGTAAGGGGAAACAGGCAGAAAATTCCTGCTTGTAAAAAAAATAGTGACCAGTGGCATAGGTGAGTGGGCCCAGTGAAAACTCACGGGGTGTTGACAGCAAGCCAAAAATGCACTGGGGTGGGGGAGGGGAGGAGGCCAGACCGGTTACTGTGATGGGCTGGTCATACCGAGCCTGTGAGGCAGCTGCTCTTGTTAACCCCGTTTTACAGATGGGGGACTGAGGCACAGGGAGCCTAGGGAACTTGGCCCAGATCAGCTTCCTAGTAAGTGGAGGAGCCGGGGGTCAGAAATGAAGTTTGGCTCCAGGGGCCTTCTCACAGCCCTGACACTACACCGCCTGTTACGAGAGGGACGCAGGCCCTCCTCACTGCGGAACCCCAGAGACCCAGCCCCCTGGCAGCCAGGTTTGGGCGCATTGCCCAAGTGGACTTCCGCAGTGTGGTCCCGTGACCAGAGCCCCCGTGAAGCACCCCGATTTCACCCTCTGAACCACAAGCACCAAAGCTTCTATGTGGCCTCCTCCTGTCGGCGTGGGAGACTCAGGAACAGCGTGGGGTGGGCCCTTTAGCAGCTGTTTGCACGGGGTCACCGCAGGTCACCTGGGCTGGTGTGTCTGTCCTGCTGGTCCCTCAGGCTCAGAAGAAGGGATGCTCCTCCTGTCAACCTGTCACACCAAGGGTTTCTAAGGATGCTCGGAGATCCTGGTACCAAACACGGTGCCTGTTGTATTAGCTGGCCCTGGTGCACCCATAGCATAGTAAACGGGGCACGCACCCTCCTATAGCATCAAGTGCAGTCTCAGCACTAGGCTGTAACGAGGAAGAGTGCTGTCCCACCCTGTTCACCAAGTGACCTCCAGTCCCCGAATGGTACGTCAGGGCCATGGCCTCACCTTCCAGCCCCCTGCTCCCTGTCACCTCCAGAGCCCCGCTCCCACTCTCCAGAGCCAGTCCATGAGGGGTGGCTGGGATTCCTCTCTGAATGTGCTGCCCACATGGTCCACACTGCCCACCTGGGCTCCTTCCCTGTGACGGCCTGTCTGGGTCTGTGTTGGTGGCATGGAAAGGACAAGGGTCACGCTGCCCGGAGCTGCTGGAGCGGCCACAACCAACCACTGTCCCCCTGTCCACTGCAGCACAGTTCCTGGGCATCCGCCATGCCAGGCAGTGCCAGTGCTGGCCTTTTAACCCCTTGTTTAACCCTGGCAACCACCCAGGCATCAGCCCTAGCGTCCCCATGTTACAGACGAGGGAACAGAGGCTCAGAAGTTACAGGACGTGCCCACAGCCGCACAGATGACAAGAGGCAGAGTGGTGTCTGGTCACGGGCCCAGCAGCCGGAGGGGGAGCACAGCTATTTAAGTAGAAGAACCGTTCTATCAAAATCAAAATTTGAGAAGAAGGCTCAAAATGAAGGTTCCGGGGGGAAAGAGTACAGGAGAGTAAAGACCCAGGGACGCAGAGGGTCAGAGAAGAGAAGAATGAGGGTCTTTTCCAGGGGGGCGAGTAGCTGTGACCGGCCCGGTCTAGAAAAAGGCCCCCAATGACTTGGAGAAGGCATCCCCTGCGGGTTTTCCACCCTCATTAACTTCGTGGCTGTCGCTGAATTTTCCATTTTTAAACATGGGTTGTAATCTCAATTCTAACCTTGCAGCCAGGGGGGTCATAGTCAAAGTACTGAGCAGCCTGGACAGCACAGATGACAGCCCAGCAGAACAGACACCAGCAGGAACCTGCCGCCCGACGAGCCACGCTCCTCACGGCTGCAGGGCGCTTTGGGGAGGAGGAAAGTCAATGTTGGCAGTGAAGGGGGACTTGATGGCACATCCCATAGCGATAGGGACGGATGCAGAGAAGCGGCGGAGAGGGGGCTGGAGGGGAAGAGGAGGCCAGGTTGCCTGCGGGTGACCCTGCAGTGTCTCTCAAATGTGGGCCTCGGACCATCAGACCGTCCACCAGTTTCCTGGGACTTTGCGAAAAGGTAAATCCCCGGGCCTTGTCCGAGACTGACAGCATGTCCGGTGGCTAGAATGTGGGTGCTTACCAAGCACCCCCCCCCCCACACACACACACTGTTGTACCGTAGAATATGGAAACGAACACCCTCACCCCTTTGGCCCCCTTAATAGAACCAAACTAAGGTCACCCCCAGCCGCTTCTTCATCCTCCGCTGCTTGTTCTTCCCTGTCAGTACCGCCCCCCCCACCTCCCCGAATCAGGCCTGAGGCACTAGCGGAAGCAGCGGGAACCAAAGCCAGGAGGTTTTTAGGGCTGAGCTGCACGGCGGCTGCAGGGGGCTGAGGCCTGGGTGATTCCTCAGGGGCCCTGAGCAGGTCACTTCATGTTTGCGGGTCTCCATCTCTTTGTAAAATGAGAATAACAATCCTAGCTCTCATTTAGAGTCATTTTAAGAAATAAAAGAGATGGTGTACGTAAAAGGCTTAAGGTAGCACCTGCTCTATATACGCGTCTAAGCTTTCATTGCTATTGGCCCGTGACGCTTGGTCATTCAGTCCCCTGACTTGCATCTGAGTCCACGCTGTCACTACACGTTAGGGACAAAGTCTTGGTTGGACTGTTTCTCCCTCTTGAGTAGTGGCCTCTTTTGTTTCAGCCTCGTTTTAATTATTCTCAAATGCGTAGACTTTTGCGTACACACAGTAGTTGGTCTTATTTTAAGCTGCCTCGTCATGTGAGAAGGAAATACAAGTGAAAACATTCAGGACCTCAGTGAATGAAGAGTGGGCTGCTCATCTCACACGCGGGGGGGGAAACTGAAGTCCCACCCACAGGCCCCCGCCTGGGAGCATAGATCTGCAGCTGGAACCCTACAGCGGCTGTCCCCTGCGAGTGGGCAGACCCCCTGCCCAAGCCAGGCTTTGGCGGTGGGGAGAGCGGCCTGGGAACATCCTGTTCATGGTTAAGAGCAGCGACGCACCCAAATTTAGCTTCAGACAAACTTAGCCTCAGCCTCCGTATCAGCCCTTGTCTGTGTTCTAGCCTTAGGGGGCTTCTGAAGGTCAGGGAGCCAGGGCTGGCTGTATTGTTGTTTCTAGAACTCCTGAACTCGTGTCTAATCAGTGATCTTGTGATCACATGGACTACCACTGTGCCTCTTCCCCATAGCCACACACCATGCAAGCCGTGTCTTTCAGATTTACTGCTAATATCAGTATAGTTGCTTGCAAATATATGTATATATTTTAGATGTAACTTGGAAGAAAAGATCACCTTATCCGCTTTGCATGTTGCGATTGACTGTCAGGAGAAAATAAATGTATATTTATTATTGCAAGAACAAAAACTACAATAGTTAATGTTTGTGGAAATTGCTAATTTCATTCAGAAAACACTTAACTTTTAAGTAGTTAAATAGGAAAATAGATGGACAATACTGGATATTGTGAGAGCACAGCAGCAAGATAAGTTTAGGATAATAGTGATTAGAGGGTTGGAAATTTCAGTCCCCCCACCCCCCACCCCACAACCTTCAGGGAGAAAAGGGGCTGAAGATTGAGCTCAATCACCAGTAGCCAATGATTTAATCAGTTATGTTACATAATGAAGCCTCCATAAACCCCAAAGGTCGGGGTTTGGAGAAGCTCTGGGGATGCAGAGATATCGGTAGGGAAGCTCCTCCCCTTCCCACACACATGCCCTCCCCTCTCCCCGTCTCTTCCATCTGGCTGTTCTTGAGTTATATCTTTTTATACTAAACTGGTAATCTAGTAAAAGGCTTCCCTGAGCACTGGGAGCCACTATAGCAAGTGAATCAAACCCAAGGAGGGGGTTGAGGGAATCTCCCATCTCTAGCTGGTCAGTCAGAGCACAGGTGAGAGCCTGGACCTGCCCTGGGTCCGAGGGGGGCAGTCTTATAGGACTGAACCTCGGCCGTGGGGTCTGATGCGCTCTCTGGGTCAATCGTGTTAGAACTGAGCTGAAGTCTAAGACACCCAGCTGGTGTCTGGAGCATGGCTTGTCAGAGCCGTAGAAACCACACACACACCCCACCCCACACTGGAGTTGGTACTAGAATGATCTCAATTGTATATCCTTTCTGAACCCACAAAAACGTGGTAGCAATTAAATAATGCAGGTCAGAATAATGGAGGATATATTTCATCTAAGCTTTTTAGAGTAGTTTGCACTACTGAATTGATAACACATAAAATAACCTATGAGAATTATATTTAATTTTTTAATAATTTAACTCCACTTAGCCGGTGATTCTTGCTTCTCTATGGGACTCAGTGGAAATCAAGTCCCTGTTTAGACTTGCAAATGTGCAGCTTGGTGACGGCAGAGGCACCTGGCAGCGGAGGATGCGGAGCTTAAAGATGTTCTCCAGTTTTCAACAGTCAAATGCGATCACACTTTTTAATCAAATTTCAGATGTTCTTGTTTTCAGGGTGCGTTCTAGGGAGAGCTATGTGCTCCGATGAGGGCTTCCCAGCGTCAGTGTTGGCCCTCACAGCCTCTCAGCCTGTGAGTGCGCCTGGTGCAGTTCTGGGGGTCACAGGAAGCCAGGGAGTCCCCTTCACTTTGTCTTCGCTCCCATCCCCCGCTCACCCCAGGCCTGTTGTGTAGTCAGGAGCTGTGAGCAGGATTTGGAACTCGGTGTGCTGTGGGAGGCGGACCAGTGCCGGGTCTGGGATGCGTGGTTCCCGGGGTGTGGATGTCCCCTGGCTTTCATACAGCAGGGCCCTGGGGCCACCAAGTCCCAGAGCTCAAAGGCGGGGAGCACAGTGGTCACCCTTCCCGTGCATCCCTCTCTCCTCCCGGGTAGTTTGTGAAGTTTGCCAACATCGAGGAGGACACCCCGTCCTACCATCGGAGCTACGACTTCTTTGTGTCTCGCTTCAGTGAAATGTGCCACTCCAGCCACGATGACCTGGAAATCAAGACCAAGTGAGCAGCGAGGGCGAGGGGGCGTGCGCAGTTGATGATGGAAGCGTGGAGGGGTCTCACAGGGTTCCCAGCCCGTGTGTGTCTGATTCCTCTGGGGCAGTGGTTCTCAACCTTCCTAATGCCGCCACCCTTTAATACAGTTCCTCATGTTGTGGTGACCCCCAATTTCATTGTTACAAATGGAACATAATTAAAGCATAGTGATGAATCACAAAACAATGTCATTATATATGTGTTTTCCGATGGCCTTAGGCGACCCTTGTGAAAGGGTCGTTCAACCCCCAAAGGGGTCGAGACCCACAGGTTGAGAACCGCTGCTCTGGGGTTTGCCTCGCTCAGACGTTCCTGGGGAGGAGAGAGCACCTGGTGGAACATGGGTGGACAAGCAGGCAGTGCTGGGCTCCCGACACGCGCTTTCTAAAGGAGCAGCCTCTGGGGCAGGAAACTGGGTGGATGTGAGATAATGAGCCTGGGAGGCCAATTTGAGAGCCAGTGACAGACATGCACACACATGCACACCCCCATGCGCTCTTGTACATCCATTTATACACCCGGAAACATCCCCTCACCATCAGCCATCCAAATATCCACCCACCAAGCCAAAGCCAAGTCCTCCCGTTGGCCGATGCCACTGCCCCCTGACTTCTCCACTCTCCCCCACTCACTCCCCTCCGGCCAGGAGGCCTCCCGCTGCCCCAGGGCTTGGCACAGTCTGTCCCTGTCCCAAATGCTTCCCTGTGGATCCGCACGGCTCCTTCCACCACGTTCAAGCCTGGGCTCAACGGTGCCCTTGTCAATGACACCTTCCCCGAACTTCCCCCACCTTCCCCTTCTCCCTCACCCTGCTCTGTTTTATTCTCCCATGGTCCTCATCCTCTTCGGACATGTTTCTTAATTTCCTCACTATATTTCTTATTCATTGTCTGTCTCCCCCTGCCGCTAGCATATAAGCCAAGAGAGCCTGGTAGCCGGGTGCGTCTCCCTCCGGTCCCCCCTCCTCACTCCTAAGTTGCTCAGAGCCCTGCATTTGGCCTCGTAGTTCTTGGCAGCACTGGCAGCTCCTATATCTTGGGCTCAAGCTGGAGCAAACCCAGCTGAGAGTGAAAGAGAGGGCACCTGAAGCCACTGCCACCTCAGGGATGAAGCTGGGTGGTACCCGGGCAAAGGCGGTCCCAGGGCATGGCTTCCTGGGCTGGTAGCCAGCCAGGAGCCCGAGTCCCAGGAAGCATCGAAGGCCCCACCCTGCCGTTTGATGGATGAATGTACCCCTCACCCCGCACTTGCCACAGAAGCTGGACTTCTCAGGGTTCGAGGGCTTCATGGCCCCGTCTCACCCTTTCCTTCCAGGATCCGAATGTCGGGCATCAAAGGGCTGCAAGGGGTGGTGAGGAAGACGGTGAATGATGAGCTGCAGGCCAATATCTGGGACCCACAGCACATGGACAAGATTGTCCCATCGCTGCTCTTCAACTTGCAGCACGTCGAAGAGGCCGAGAGGTAAGCAGGCGAGGCTGGAGGTCGGACAGCAGACCAGGAGCCCTCGCAGGCTGCCCGTCCCAGCTGCTGGGGAAGCGCAGGGCGTGGGCTTTGCTAAAACGGAGCTCTGCGGCCGGGGATCTTGGCTTGGTGGCCTGTTCCACAGTGAGTCCAGGGCCAGCTCTCTGCAGCCCGTTGTGCCCATTAAGGTCTGCGTTCATGGAGGCAGGATGGTAATGGTGTGGGCTCCCTGGGATGCCGGGCTCCTTGTTTGGTAAGAACCAAGACTCAGGGACCTCTTCTCTCTGGAAGCAGCAGGCCACGGAGGTTTTAAAAGGCCTTGCGTGGCTCCACTTCCTGAGGACTTTCCCTCCCTGACCTTCCTTCCTCCCTCACATCCTAATGGTATTTCGGGCCCTGAAAACAGGCCTGCTTGACCACTCAGCCCCCAGACCTGGCACTCACCCTGTCCCCACCCCTTGCGCTTCCTCTCTGCGAAGTGGGGTGCAGGGGAAGGTTCACGTCCCTGTCCACCTCGGCTGTGCATGAGGCTGGCTGAGGGCGTGGGTCCCTCGCTTTCTGTCAGTTGAGCCTGTGCTGCTGGTCAGGCAGGGAGAGGAAGTGTGCCCTCTGGTGGATGAGTCTGGAATCGCACCTCCACTGACAAGATTGGCCTGTGGTCTCAGGGCCCCGAGTCCTGGGGATCCTTCTGTCCAGGTTGGGCCCACCCTCTGTGGCTCAGTAACCTGAGCCAACCACTGTGCCTTTCTCCCCTCCTCTTCTCCTCTCCCTTCTCCTCTCTCCCACTTTCCTTTGCTTTCCGCTCTTCTGCCCACCTGTCTTCGTATCACACATCTTTGCCTTCTGGAGCCTCAGGGGCATGGAGATACTCGCGGCCGGGCCTCCCCTGCCCCTGGTGCTCAGGGTACCTGTCCTCCTGACAGAGGCACATCAGGCCTATCCCTAAGGATCTCCAGGAAAAAGCCTCTCCCTTCTCCCACCATCTTCCTCCACTCTGGGTGTCTACCCCATATAGTTTCTGAGCCGTGACATCTCCCCTGTGACCTTCATCAAACTCCTGCTTGTCCTACTGCCACCACTTGCCTGGGTGCAGCACAGCCTCCCAGGCACACACAGAGCCGGGTCCCGGCTTGGCCTCCCATCCTTCACTCATGAGGCTGTGTGCTCCCACAGCCGGTCCCCCTCGCCGCTCCAAGCGCCGGAGAAGGAGAAGGAGAACCCGGCGGAGCTGGCCGAGAGGTGCCTTCGGGAACTGCTGGGCCGGGCTGCCTTTGGCAACATCAAAAACGCTATCAAGCCTGTTCTCATGTGAGTTCTACACCACCCCTTTCACCCCCTACCCTCCCCCCCCTACAAGTGAACAGACTCGGGTCCCGGCATCTAAGGAGGTGATACGGTTGTGGTGCTGGGGCCAAGTCAGTCCCTTCTCTGTGCCTGTGTTCATTGAATTAGGACAACACAAGCTACCACACAGCGGCCAAGTGCAGCTTTGGGGAGAGGAGTTGGTAGGAGGGGCCCCAAAGCTGAAGGAAGGTGCCCGGTTAACTCCTAAAGCCACGGCTTCCTTGACCTCCTTCCAGCCCTGGGGCTGGGACCGCCCTGGGTCTTCCCTTCTCTCACCTGGGGCTCTGTGAGGGCTGGGTCTCTGGGAGGTGCTCACTCCCCGCAGTGTCTCTCTCCTCCTTAACGTCACTCTGCATGTCATAGCTGTCCCCCCGTATTTCTCTCCCTCACAGCCACCTGGATAACCATTCTCTGTGGGAACCCAAGGTGTTCGCCATCCGTTGCTTTAAAATCATCATGTATTCAATTCAGGTACGGCTTGTCCCCCGGCCAAGGGACTTCTGGGGCAGGAAGTGCGCTTGTAGACAAAGCCAGCTTCCAAACCGGTTCTGCGGAACCTCACTATGGAGCGTGGCCAGTTTAGCTTTATTTCTAATCCATCACAAACCAATACTTTACAAAGTACAATTTTTAAAAATCCATAGAGAGTGTAAATGAAAAATTCGTGAAAAGTTCAAGCCCATAGGCCATGCTTGGCTGCCACGCATTGTCAAATTGCCTATGAAACGCCGACTCTCAAATTCTGTACTTATCTCAGAATAAACGGGCACCAGGCAGATCTGGAACTGTCACCAGGCCACGGGCCACACTTTGAGCAGCACTAGGCTAAGCCCGTGACCTCCTGCGGCCCTTACCAAGGAGACATGGGGGGAACGGAAAGGAAGACAATAGTCTAAAGTGGACTTTTGCCCCATTTGGGGTGAAAGGGCCCAGGAAAAGCTGGGACATCCAGGTCTTCACTCGGTTGGGCTCCGTTCCTTGTTGGACCGAGGGGGAGGGGCTCAGGGAAAGGACCCTTCATCCACCCCGCCTTTGGGTCCCAGGCCGGGGCTGCCCGGCTCAGAGGCCACATGGGGGTGCCATTGGGGACCAGCACGTCTTCCTCCCCCCAGCCGCAGCACTCCCACCTGGTTATCCAGCAGCTCCTGGGCCACCTGGACGCCAACAGCCGCAGTGCGGCCACCGTGCGCGCGGGCATCGTGGAGGTGCTGTCGGAGGCCGCTGTCATCGCCGCCACCGGTTCTGTGGGTAAGGCGGCCCTGGGAGGAGTGGGGGCTGGGACCCTCCGGGACGAAGAACTGCCCTTGGCTGGAGGCTGCCCCCCCCCTTCCAGAAAAGGGCAAGGGAGGCGCCTTAGGGAGGGGTCAGGGCGGGGAAGCCGGGGAGAGGAAGCCCTGGTGGGGGTGCAGGGCAGGGAAGAATGGAGGGGGCCAGCCCTGAATGCTGGGTCCCCACCCCGCCGCAGGGCCCACGGTGCTGGAGATGTTCAACACGCTGCTGCGGCAGCTGCGGCTCAGCATCGACTACGCCCTGACCGGGAGCTACGACGGGAGCTATGACGGGAGCTATGACGGGGCGGGCGTCAGCCTGGGCACCAAGATCATCAAGGAGCACGAAGAGCGCATGTTCCAGGAGGCCGTCATCAAGACCATAGGTGCGGGCCCCAGCGAGGGGCGTGGTCCGTGGGTGGGCGTGGCCCCGGGGGGCGTGGCCCAGGGATGGCACCCCGGGGACTTCAGCCCAGGGCATTGCAGGATTGTCCTCTGTGCATGCTGCTCACCAACACTGGAGGGGAGTGGAGTCCGTCCAGGTGCATGCAGCGCACGGACTGCCCCAGTCGGGCTGAGTGGGCGCCCGGACTTGAGGCCACAGGCTAAGAGAAGCAAACTCTTCCTGCGCCCAGTCTCCCGAGGCCCGCCTGCTGCTCCCAAGTGTGAGGGATCGGAGAGGCGATGGGGAGGGAGGGAAAGGAAAGGAAGGAAGAGGAAGGGAGCGAGCCGTGGAGGACATGTGCATGCGCTGGGGCGAGGGAGGAACTGTAAAGCCACCTCAGGTGTAAGCTCATCACTTCCAGAGCCTTCCTGCCCGGAGCCATTGGAGCGTCCCCCAGCTCTGAGAAGCAGGCAGGGCAGGAATCGCCCCAGTTCACAGCGAGCCGCTGAGATTGCGGGGCTGCCTCCCTTCCAGAAAGGGCCAGGCTCCTGCGGGAGGTGTCAGAGCCGGTGTCCCGCGGCACCCAGCAGAGCAGCTGGTGGCAGAGCCTCGGTGGGCACCCGGGGCTGCTGCCTGGCCCAGGGTCCAGGTCTCCACCCCAGAGACCTTAGCCTCCGGCTCTGGACTAAGCGGAGGAACTGGAGCCTGGACGAGTGAGTCCTCTGGAATTATCTAGGTTCCTCCTCTGGGTCTTAATCGTCCCCCCAGAGAAGCAGCAGAAAGGCTGAGCTGAGCGACCCCGGCAGCCGTCGGCCTCAGGGGGCCGACCCTCTCCACCATCTTTCTCCCGCAGGCTCCTTTGCCAGCACGTTGCCCACGTATCAGCGCTCGGAGGTGATCCTCTTCATCATGAGCAAGGTCCCTCTGCCCTCTCTGCATCACCCCGTGGAGACGGGGAGGACCGGGTAGGTCCGCCACGCCTTCCTCCCGCTCTCTCCTCCCTGGTCTCCCCTCACTTCTCTCATTCTGCTCTCAAACCCCTCCCGAGCCTTTAGAGGGGCCCTTGGATCCCACAGCAGTTCCTCAGGCTGCCACCCTCCCTCCCCAATAACCACCTCCCGCCTTGCGGGGAGCCATTAATTCCCAGTCTGCTTCCTGGCTCTGAAGTCACCGTCCTGCGTAACTCAACACATAAGCCTCGTGGGGAATCTAATCACGAGGGAGAACTACGCAGGCAAGTGTGGGGTCTCCACCGAAATCGCATCCTGGTGAGAGTGTGTATCTCTGGTCTGCAGGGAGAACAGGAACCGGCTGACCCAGATTATGCTGCTGAAATCCCTCCTTCAGGTGAGCCTCCCGTCCCCTTCCCGCTCTGCCTCTGCGGGAGGAAGCTCCTCCCCAGGCCCAGGGTCGGCTCCAGCATACAGCTGTGAAGCTTGCACGTGCACAGATATGTCTGTGCAAAGGCCTGAGGTGGGACTGACACCAGCCTGTGTCCCTCTCACTTGCCTGGCTGGGCACACACAGCTGGGTCATCTGGAGCAGGTGGTGTGGTGTCTAATTTTCACACAGGTTCCTTATCAGCTACTGATAGCATTGTCACTCGACATCGTCTCTGTACTGAGATGGAACCTGCTGGTTCCCGCCCCTCCCCCCCAATGACCTGCGCAGATCCTTCCTCACCGTTCCCTCCTGGTTTCACCTCAGTCTCCCAGCCACAAGCTTCCCTCCGTCGGTGTTTTAAATTCCTCTTTTTGCATCTTTGAAGCCATCACTGTGATTCATTGTTCTCAAAGGTCATTCCCATGACCAACCTGTTGACTGTAGAGATTCCCTAGAGATTCTGAGCCATCCGACTGCGTGGGGTCCTGACTCCGTGTCTGTAACAAGCTCCCCAGTTATCCTGGTGCACAGCCTTGGCCTAAACTCCGGACATCTCACAGCTACACGATTCTCCCAGTTGCTTTTATCTCCATCTCTCCTCACCTACCATCAATACAACCACAAGAATTTTCTGGAAATGCTGTTCCCCACGTATTGCCCCACTTTAAAGTGTAGGTCTCAGTTTCCAGTTGAGGTACATCTAGATTTCATACAGGCATACCTTGGAGATATTTCGGGTTCGGTTCCAAACCATGGCAATAAAGCGAGTGCGCAATAAAGCGAGTGCGCAATAAAGCAAGACACACGAACCTTTTGGTCTCCCAGTGCACATAAAAGTTATGTTTACACTGTGCATACTGTAGTCTTTGAAGTGTGCAGTAGCACTATGTCTAAAACTAATGTACATGTCTTATTTTTAAAAGTAATTTATTGCTAAAAGTGCTAATCATCATCAGCACCTTCAGCATCAGAGCCTTTGTGCTGGTGGAGGATCTTACCTTCAGTTTGTCAAACAATGCAATGTCTGCGAAGCACAGGAAGCGAAGTACAAGAGGCATGCCTGTCTTTTCAGACTGAAGGTGGAAGGTCTCCAATGCCCTTCCCCTCCTTCGACTCCCCATCGCCTCCCTCAGCCTTCTCTGTTCCAGCCATGGCAGCTTGCACAGCCCTCACTCCCACTCGGGTCTTCCCTCCCCTCCCCCAGCCCACGTCTTTCATGCCACTCTATGTTTATAGAGGCTTTGCATGCTAATGCTGCCCACATCTGGTTCCCTCCTCCATGGACTCCTGCCGTTTCTTCACATCCCTCACTGATTTGCACCTGGCATCTTAGTAAGGTGACATTTTGGGACACACTCGGGTACATCCCCCTTCAGAGAACACTGGTGTTTGCCTTTGATGGTACCAGGTTTTGCTAGCTCCTCCGGGGCCTGCTGAATCGTCCAGGGCATTGTTTTAGAACATAGGGACTTAACAGTAAATATGTCTCCCTGCTTTCGAGTGCTCTGACATCACTTGGGATGCGTCTATGCCAATTGGCTTTGATCAGAAGACCCCTTTCATGGCCATGAAGGGATGTAAGCAATCGCTGTGTGTGCTCTTGGTTGCCATGCGCGTAGGTTCTGATTCCGCAGCCCAGCTGTAGGTTCTTCCGCTGTCTGTCCATCGCTCTGTGACCGTCCACCCGCCTAGTAAGCCTTGTATTCACGGTGAGTCTTCATCAGTTGTGCCGATGGCCTGGGACATAAGTTCAGAGGCTCCCTGACTCCTGCTCCCCTCAGTGCTCATCCCTTGCTTGCTTTGAACCATTTAAAGTTCCTGCACACGGTCCCCATCCTACCACATGTCTACTGAGCTGAGCCGAGGAGGTTGTCTC